CATTACAGCTTCACTATTGCACAAATATTTTAATAACTTGGAATGAATCCCTTAATATTTGCATAACTCTTCCCAGCCATATGAGGGATAGGGAGATGGGAATCTGGCAGCACAGGAACTCATGCAGGAAATGAAGGTAGCTTCGTCAATACTAGTCACCAGGGTGAACCAGCTAGCCACATCCAGGTGTTTCTGTTAGTTTGAAATTGGTAAACACAGCACAAAAAATAGAGGCTTACATAGATCGTCAACAACACACAGCAGAAGACTGAGATTTTTGACTCTGAGCTCTTTCACTCACTCTTACTCAGACCCTGCACTCAACAACAGTTTTTATTCTTCAACAGCCTTCAGGACTTTTCTGTTACGCTGCTTCTGTTACGCTTTTCCCCCTCCATGAGGCAGTTTTAGTCACACAGCAAAAGCGTGCTTCAGAAAGAAGTGATAGAATTTGCACTTACATTTCTTTGAATACTTGTGGCTCTCTGGCCACAGCATGAAAAGTGTATATAAAAGTTGTTACTAGTTTAAAAACAAGCAAAGAAAGTCCCTCAAAACCCACCTCCTGTTCCTCAGACGAGAGACAGTGGTCAAGTAGTAAAGCCTTGTTTTATCATGATGTAGGTAAAACCGTAACAGCTCGGCCACTTAGTTGATATATGGGTGACACCAGATCACATGATCAGGCCTCTCCAAAGACAATCTTCTATATCAGGCCTCCTTCAAGGTGGTCCTGCCTTTCTTCATCTCTGATCACATCACTGATGTAGCTTATAACACAGCCTGGGCACAACTGAAAGGATGTGACAGGCATCTCCAGCGCTGAATTAGTACTGGTGTTAGCTCCCCACTACAGTAAGCAGCATTACCAGCTCATGACCTTACTCCATCTTAAACAAATGAGCTTATATTTTACTTTCAGTCTCCATGCCCACATCCCACAGCTACTTGCCTTTCTGTCTTCAGGGTTTAGCTGGTTCATTAGCATAGTCATATTTTCAGTATTCCAGATCCAAGAATTGCTTGTAAAGTATTCTAATAACATCATGGCCTTATGAAGACGTGTTATTGTTTTCATCATCCTACAGCCCAAGGCACGGAATGTACAGGTTACAATGGTAAACATTAGTTCAAACAAGAAAAACAGATAGTAAGATTGTACACTTTCTACCCTCCAACCCCACACCCCCATGTTAACATATCTCATATTGCTCTGTACCCAAAGCATGTTATGTCAGATCAATAGGATATTTCTGCATATTATTAAAGTGGACTTTGGCTGTCCAATCTTTATATAGAATCAGAAATTATAGGACAGTCCTTTTTTCCTAATCCTACCTCCCAGTACAATAGTAATTTTCTTCCCTAAAAAGAAAGAAGAGATGGTAAAATGCTGTCTTCTATTGGTAACTCTTAGTTAGGGCACAGAACACTTTTCACCATACTGGAATATCTAGCTGTACTGAACAATTTAACTTGATGAAAGTCAAACTGCACAGCACAGAACATATGCATGTGACAACTTTAAGCAAGGGCCTAAGTTTCCCTGATCATCTTGCACACTGTGCAAGACCAGATCTCTGTAACAAAACAAAATTGGTTTATTATGGTCACTAAGAGATCAAGGCTTACAACCACCAGAAATACAGCTTAGCTCCTTAACCCTACTGCTTCTGCAGCAAAGGCAGAAAAATACTTAAGGGCACAGACAGACCACCGCAGATCCTGCTAGTTAGGTGATCAGTTCCATGCTACTTCAAAATATGCAGAAATATCTTCATCATCCCTTATTATGCAGAGGAAGCAACTCTACAAAACCATCACTTGGAGTACTGAGAAATTATGCTATAAGGATCAATTTGGGCAAGTTTCTCTTTGATCAGATCATCTGAAGCGGACCCAAAAAATGTGAGTCATCCAGTGTCTCAGACGTAAAGTTCCCACATTTATGACAAAATTGTTTCAAGTGCTACAGTGCTAGAGATGGGCACTGAATTTTAACATGTACTATCTTGTACCACATAACATAATGCTATTAAATTCTGGCTATGGGTGCTCAAGGTATTTCCATCTTGCAGAGCTGCTTCCAGTTTGATCCTTATAGCAGGACACACCGATCAATTTAAACATGCAGGTGGGGAGGCAAAGAAAGCAGAACAACCCAGCACTAACAGGAAATGGCTTTCTGAAGGTAAGTTTTGTTCTTTAAAATTCATAGAAGCAATAAAAACCACTGCTTTTGCTCTGAAAGCTACCTTGATGCATTCATACTTGTAGAAGGGATATAGCACATTGTCCCATAAACTCTTCTATAGAAAGTATTTTGCATGGCATTAGTGTCCCCTATTGTCACTAATGGCTGGCATCTCTGTAGCTAAGGGAGTATCAAAATTGCCTCGTTTTCTTCTCACGAATTAGAACACAAATTGCAGAGATCAGTGAAAAAGCAGAGTATCTCTAAAGCACAAATATTTTTCCTTAAACCTTGTAGCAATCTACCTACAGAGTAATTTAGAGTTGTATTCAAACTTTAGACTGTAAGCTAATTTTATTAGTAGACATTTCTAGATGCTTTCAAACACCTGTTTATAGTTTCACCAGTTGGGCAAAGTGGCAACAGCGAGCGCTGAGCTGAACCAGAGTTCCTCTGATTCAAAAATAATTAGGAATATGGACTGTGCATCCAAGAAAACTTGTGCCCCTGCAAAATACTTAATGGTGCAAGTTAATATCTGATTAGACAAGTGTAGATTTTGAGTTTGCTAATGGCCACTGACACTGGTTTTTGTTCTTTTCTGTACACAAAACCTAAACTAAATTTAAACTAATGTTAAGGCTAACCTCTGCTGGGAATCTTGCCGCCTCTGCTTATGGATATGGTTTTAGCACATAGCTAAGCTCATTTAAAGAAAAAAAAAAAGAAATTGAGTGGCTAAAAAGAGTTCTGCCTCAGCTGCAGATGTTTTCCCTCCCTCCAACTCAAATTGGATTTAGTGACTGGCCACAGAACCAGATGATTCATTTTATCAGTGGAAAATTGTTCCTTTTCTTTGAAAGGTTAGTCTCTTGATACATCAGCCAAAAGAATCAAATGTCTCCACATTTTCTCAACTGCTAGATGAATTATAAAGTTGGCAGAAGAGGACCATCTTTCTTGGTGACAGCTTGTTAGTTTGCACTAAATCAACATGAAAATACACTGTTTCTTGAGAAGAAAAGTAAGTATGGCAACAGCTTCATTCAGAGATGTCAGCAATGAGTGTCATTTAGTGGACGCTTGCATAGCACTGGCACATTAAGTTTTTAACTTCAAAGGCACCATATTCCTCCTGCAAATGGGAATACACACATGACTCAAAAAAGAACATGAATACACATAACGGAACTTTATCTCTCAACCTGAAGTTCTGAAATACACACTTCACGGGTTGTTCCAGAGATAGCCACTGGATACAAGTCGTAAGTGTTAAAGCCATATATAACCAGTCAGTATAATCTCAAGCACTGTATCACACCTGCTCCATAAGCTGAACACAGAAAAAAGTCAGACCTGCTGATCATCATAAAGAACTGAACACTAGTGGCAGTCAGCAAATCAGTGTGACAGCATGCAAGACTTTCACCTAGACGCTAGATAGACTTTTGCCTCTACTAGGCAGTCCTTACTGCCATTAACACAAAAACACACTACAACAGCTTGAGTTGTTGTATCACAGGAATTACAAGTTTTAAGCAACAGTTAATCGAATTATCCGTAAGTTAGGTGTTCATGTTTCTATACCAGACAATTGAAAGCGACCTGGCTTAAGACTCTGACTGCATTTTGAAGAAGTCTTACATACAACCTATTGTCTCCAGGCTAAAAACAATTCTGATGCTAACTACAGACTGATCCTTCAGTGAATCTACAGGCTGCCAATCTACAAGTCTCTGCATAAGCATTGAAGATAGTTATATATTTTTTTTAAAAAAGATTCCTCTAAAATACATGAAAGAAGCTTTCAGATTTGTCTTTGTTTAGATTTTCATTTGGGTGTAAGTTTTGAAATGTAACACATTCTACTGGAATTCTTATTTTCCCAGTAGCTCTGTGGTTCTATTAGGTGCACAGCTTAGAAGTGCCTCCACGAGGAAAACCAATGCTAATCTATTCAATAAAAATGTACTCCTTACTAATTTTTGGTTTGTAGGACAGCAACTATGTGAAAGGTGCTTCATGTTAAGTTTCAAGAAGCTTTAAATTGAATGATAAGATATGAAATTATGTCCTTTACACCTACCTACACACATCAACCACACCTTCCCTCTAGCTTTGTAAGAAGCAGTAACAAAAAATGAATTGCTGGAGATATGCCCGAATTACAACTTTAAATAAACATTTCATGCCACATTCTGTTCTTCCAGAGTAACTGGAAAGATCTGCTGGGTGTGTATTTTTAAAGGCTTTAAGATTTCAAATATACCGAATTGTTTTTAAATAACATACGGTTCTGTTGTGCTAAGCAGTATGTAAAGTTACAAGAAAGAACTATGTCTTATATCAAAATTGATTGGACAATTAATAAGCTTAGCTACACAATTAAGTACATATGGCAAGCTACTGACACCACTATCCTTAAACTTGGATGCTAAGGATTATCAACACTATTTACGTAATTGCTCAATGCTATAACATTCTTAAGTATTTAGTATAAAATATCAAATTGTCATTATGTCAGTCCTTATGGTACATGTTCTTTCTATAAAGTTTGGAAGAAATACTATATGCATTATTTCTTCCTTCCCTTTCCATAACTGTTAATATTATCAGAGAACTGTTAAATTCAAGAACCTTCAACTGGATGCAAAAACAGCAAAAATATTTCCATCTCACTAAAAACACTGCTTCCACAAGTGAGATGCAAAAGAATGATTTAATATCTGTTGAAACCTTTCTGCAATAACTTTTAAAAAAACACTGATTTTTTTTTTTGTTATTATGAATATAATTCTTCACTTCTGAATGGTCATAGGCCTGATCTATTTCTTCCACTTGTTAAAAATTTCTCATTCAGTTGCACTGTAATACCCTCACAGCATGACAACAGTGCAGTTAAACCTACATAGTAATTTCATTGCTTAGAGTTCTTCCTTCACTGTATGCAATAAAGACCTCAGAGGTGTATTCAGACTCAGCACACACAGGGCAGGCTATTGACCACATGAAGTCCAGTTAGCACAGTATTTGCATTTTCTTGTGCTGATTTAACTACATTTTTACCACACTGCTCAAGTTTTTCTACTAAATCATGGTGGAAAAGGTCACATTTTAGATTAAGCCAGTCCTTCTTCACTCAGAACAGCATTATATTGAGTTTAAGAATCTCCAGTAAAGTTTCAAGGCTTCAGAAGTTTCCCAGTACATGCCACCTGGTAATTAAAGCCATTCTGTCAACTTGACGGAGTGACCACAGCAACAGCAGTACATCCCTATACCATGACTGGCTCCAGCCTATCAGTTAAAGCCAGATTCCTGTATGTGAGCTGGGTATCAAACTTAAAAGCTTTTCTTTCAAGTGCATTTGAGTAACCTTAGTGACTGAACAATAGCTTGTTTTAGTTGAATCTCCCATCTTTCCTAGAAACTGGAAATCTTGTGCATGACAGGAAACTCACCCATCCACTGTTATACTAAACTAATTAGGAATACTTACATCAGTAATACTTCACAGGCTAGAAAATACTTATTTAATGTCACCAGTTGTACTACTACTGACTAAAGTTCTAAACTCCATCTCTGGACATCAGTTAAGAACTCCAGGAAAGGCAAAACCAAGATTCAACATTCCCAGTGTTATAATACAAGACTGCTAAGAGTGTTCTAAACAACATGATTATTCACAGCCTTGGTTTACTCCCACTGGTCAAATACTTAAAAGACTAGACACTTTTTAAAGACTGCCAAGATTCTGGCAGCACTACTTCCTAACCATTTGAAAGACAGTAGGTTGGCATTTATAGTATAACTATTTTTAGTGAGTGATGAAGTCTTCATATCTGTCAGGGAATTCCTATCAATTTTTATTAAGAGTAACTTAAAATTGCAGACGAACCTAAAAGCTAGGACCTTGTACATTCAATACCTTCCTTTGATCTGACAAGCTCCCATCTTTTTCATGTGGGAAAGTTACAGGCACAGCCTCCTGTGCTGTGCCTGTAATAATAGTGTAATACTCGTAGCAACAGTACGCTACAAGTTGCTACAAGTATTACACTATTGAGTAGCTTGGAACAACAGAACCCAAGGCAGTTTAGAAGTTATCTCCTACAAACCACTTACATGGCTTCCTTCTACTGATCCAGTGCCAAGTCTTACAGAACTTTTCCCATCCTTGTAAGACAGACCTAGACTACAGGATAATGAATGAATACTCACTTGTCACCAGTGTGGAGATTACTTATAGTCTGAAGACAAATACTTTTGAAAATATAACATATGTAATGAGTTAAGATCATATGGCTTGGCAAATCTGAAACAAATTGCAGCGACATCTTATATTCCTGCTACATAATTTAGTTTATTTAGCCCATTTAGCAGAGCTATGCCACTTTCACCACTTAAGAAGTTAGCCAGATACTAGTGTAAATACTATAAACTGAATGGAATGTCGAGATGATACAAACCAACACATCAGATCAAGTTGTATCATCTACAGGAATAATTAACAATTATTATACTTAATTAGCAATTACTAACTCCGTCTCCCGTTCCATTTTCAGTTTATAATAGCAACAACAATCTTAATGCAAGCCACCTCCTCGAGTTTAATGACTGGCTAGGATTCTGATCCGAGACTATCTCAGACAGCATTGTTAAGCCAGTCATTAATCTCTTCAAAATGCAGCCACTGACTTGTTATTGCTTATAGTTAGTAAATCTAGATAGTGCCCACGCCATGTCTTCACAAGTCTCCATCACCTTATCAGCAAGGTATTTTTAGCCCTGTCCTTCTTACCACGGTTTATGACCTGTCAATCTGAGCAAAAGATCATACAAAAATGCAGGTATGGTATGGCTGACTGCAGTCCAATATTGACACAAGAGGGGGTTGGATTGCACACTAAAATTAGGGTGCCTCACTGCACTTTCTAATGGATTTATCTTGAAATTCAAATTAACGTGGTATCCTGTAGGAAAAAATAAGGATCAACATATTTTGAGCATTTATTATTCAAGAACAAACATCACTTGCTAGATCTTCTAATTCTGTGTACCTTGACTACTCAAACCCCCAAACTATTCAACAAAAAACATCCTCATTTTTGCTAGAAAGTCACTTTGACTTCAATGACCTATTCTCAGGAAAAAAGGCTGAGTTTTAGTCACAAAGCATTCAGGGGAAGAAAAAAATTTTCAAAGTAATCAATATACATCATAGTGTAAGCATAGCTTTGTTTAAAAGTCAGAGGAACAGACAAGACAGAGCTAGTCACCATTACCTTGGGCTTCTTCCAGTAATCCTGAGGTAGATATCATACAGGAATGCTGGGGCCTTATGGCTTACAGCAATCCAGTAATGATATAAAAGGTGATTGGAAGTTAGATTTACATTGGGCCGTCTGAAGGCCTGTTCGAGAGGATTCCTCTTGAAAGTAGAAATTACATGGTATTCTGAGAAAGAAAAGTTGCGTAACAGCTTTGATAATAACCATGTAAAATTTAATGGTTTTCAAAGTACATTACAGTGTACAATATTTATGCCAGTATGTTATTTAAATAACCACCCTAACTCTTCTACAATCCACAGAAACTAAAGCAAAGTCATAAGCTTTTAACCTAAAATACTGTTGAACTGGTTCTTATTATAATCAACAGGTCTTTTACGCCTTCATCTTCAGTATCTTTTTTTTCCAGTAGCTTCTCTCTTTCTGTTCCTCTTCCCTACCTTAGAAGTTGTTGGTTTCAAAAATTCACAGCAACTTCAGTTTAAATAGCATGTAAAGCTATTCAAGTAGTTATCCACATTTCATGAAGAAGGCTATTCTGATCTTTTGTGTGAAGAATAATTTAAAAAAAGACTGAGGACTTTGCAAGCATCTGAAGTGCATTTCAGATGACATTTTTAAACAACTTCTCCATATTTAAGCATTAAGAAAAAAAGCAATTAGGATGGGACTCCACGTGAAACTCCTGCTGACACCTGAAAATTCATGACAGACATGCAGGATCAGTATCTTAAAAAGTTATGTTGAAATTCACCTCTCCTTTTAATCACCTCTTGTAACTTTATGCTGTTGTTTATAGACAGTGTTTAAATACCTTGATTCAAACTGGGATATAAACGAAGTCATCAATTTTCCAAGTTTGGCTGAAGCAATAAGGTTTATAAATCGATGCATATAAAGTGGTCAAAAGCAAGTAAAAAGCATTAAATAGTAAATAGAAACAAAATAGATTTAAGTATTAAACTGAAAGAAAAAAAAATTCTTAAGAACACTAGTTCTAAAAAATGGAACGCTAATAGACAGCTTTACCATGCCAGCCAGCTTGTATTGCTATTTATAACAAGAACTATCACAAAGCTTTTGGCATGTGGGTTACATTCTAGTCAGGATATCTAAGAGTTGAAAATAGGTGGCCATACTTTCTTAAAGATTACCTTTCCCTGTACATGAATAGTTGAAGTCTCCTGTAGCTATCTGAAGATTAAAAAAGCCACCTCAACCAACAATTAACTTAAGCCAAACACAACAAAGAGTTACACAAGTGCAAAACTATTTGCATACCTCTCAATTATGCAGATACAAAAAACACCTAATTGTGGGCTGTTCATCTGTATGTATTTAGTCAGGTTAACTTTAAACCCCACATCACTACTGCTCCTCTGCAATGCTTTTCTCTGCACACTACCCACACTCTGCAGATTAGGTCACAGCAGCAGCAAAGAGAACAATCAGTTCTCCCATAGTTTAAGTTATAATGGAATAAAAAAAAACAAGAACAAAATGAAATGGTAATAATGCTGCAAGAAGAGAGAACTAACAATGGAAGATAATGAAAAAGCACAATACATCGCAAAATTGAGAGGTATGGCTATTACACTAGTTTCAACAATAAAAATGCAATATGAGCTACTGATTATAGCCTGCGCTTTTATTATTTGACCTTATTTTTCTATTAAAGCTTATGAAAAAAAGAAACCTGGCATACCAACTTCACCCCAGTGGAAAGGATTGGTGCCACCTGTTGTACAGTTATATACCATGATATTTCTTGGTCTGGAGGGAAAAAAAGACAAAAAAGCAACTTAGAAGACAAATAACCTTTTAAAAACATAGACAGAAGACATATCCAAAGTTATCCTTTCCCTCAACAGCATCATTTACATAAAGCAGAAAGCATCAGTCTCACTTTAGATTTTTTGCTTTCTGTATCATCTTCCGGTACTTTTCTCTTTCTTTAACTATCATATTTCTTTTCTCTCAGAGAAGACGTCAGCTACATTACCATAGATTTTATTGATTACAAGAAGACCCAAGAAGGTATTTTCAGGCATAGCTTGTACAACAGTATCAGTAGATGACCTCCTCTTCTTTCGCATAAGGAAGTTACACTTTGAGGGACTAACGCCGTTAGAACCTTAGATTCCTTTGTCCTGGGGAAATAGCAGGACGCCGACCAGAAGTTCAATAGAAGACTGATTTATTAAGATACACAATATAACTTCAAAATACTTCGTACTCTCTATTGTCATCTGTTATACCTATTAACTCCAGAATACCAGGCTGCAGCCAGTGTCGTATTGACAACAACATCTACTGGAACAAGATCTGCTACTGCACTGTTGGAAGCTCTCATTGTTCGAAGAATTCCTTTTCCTGCCTTAAAGAACAAAACAATAACAAAAAAAGAGAGACAGAACACCCAACAGTAAAACACTTGAATCTTTGTTGCTTTCCAATGGGGGGGGGGGTGTGTGTGTGTGTTAGGAATTTAAGTATATCCATTACTTACAGCAATGAAGAGACCACTGGGTCCATTGAAGTTATCAATCCATCCCTATTATGAACAGGGGGGAGGGAAAGGATTTGGTTAAAATATATTCAAGTCAGCAGTCTCAAGTGAAAATCTGAGAAGTTTCTACAAGTGTAAGGGGTTTTTGTATCAGCATTGTTATCCAGAAGCAATTAAGCCACAACTTCATAGTCTAGAACATTTTCCCCCCACAAGGGTCACTAGATAAACAGGCTGTCAGTATGCGCTAGTTTACAGACAGGATGGTCAGGTGAAAATTCAATGACTTACAGGAAAAGGCTCCTTCCAGCTAGCACCAACAATAGATGGCCTTATAATGGCTGTGTTTAATTTTGCACCTTCTTGTTGTACTATGTATTCTGCTAAGGCTTTTGTATACGTGTAAGTATTAGGTCTGTCGCCTATCAGTTTAGGAGTAATATCATTCACTAGGCCATCATCCATCCACCTAAAGAAACAAAATAAGAAGCAAGTGTATATTACTGCATGCTGCTTCACTGGGATATGGTGTAGCAAAAGTAATAAATAAAAAGGATAACCAGGTAAATAAAAAATACTTCAGGAAGTAAAGTTAAAATCAAATCTCCTCTTCAAAACAGCAACCAAGGAAAAAAAAAAAAGTCAACAAAAAATCCACACTAAAACCACAAAAGCATTAGCATTCCCCTAGAAGCTGCATAAACAAAGAGAAACAAGAAATTGTGAAGAAATTTAGACAATAATTAAAAACTCAGTTCTGTATTTCAGGTTTCTACAACAATCCCACTATCTAACACTAAACTAGTACACTTTAAATCTCAGCTTGATTTTCATAATTTAACACCAACTCCCACTGAAGTTAACATGTCACATACTTCTTCCTACTTAAAAAAGCTGAAAGTTGTCAAACATTTCCATTAGCATTTGCATATCAAACAATGAATGTCTGCTGACAGCTTATACTGTGCTTAACTTTAAAACTGCATAGCCTCCTAAAATACCATTCATGAAAATACAAGTTTGGGGGTTTTGCTTATTTAAACTAAAGGCCAATCCCAGAGGCCAGAAAAATCAAGTTTAATAAAGTCTGCCTATCACTCATTTGGATTATACACTACTATTTAAATAAAGGTGGCAACTACATACGTAGAACTCTTCTGAAAAGGGATCTTAAGGAAGAATTTTATATTTGAAATCCCACAGCAGCAGTGTAGTTAGGCTGGTTTGTTTAAGGATATTACTACCAACTTACAGAAGACTGTTTATACTGATCTCATGCTCATTTTGTTTCAAATTAAACCATAAAACCTAAACATTCGAGAGAAAATGCCAAGAACAACAACAAGAACAAAAAAAAAAATCTTTCACCAAAACAAGTAGTATTTTGGAACTTCTTTATATGTTGTACCATAGCAAGTAAGCACATTTGTGAACTTTGTTAAATATTAAGTCTTTTTTTGTTCTTCTTTTGTTGTTAAAAAGTTACCATGATTTTTTTCTTCTTCCTCTTTTAAAGAAAAAAGGATGCAGACTGAAATGAAAACAAGTTTCTCAGTAAAAGAGAGGAGAGTTGTGCATTCAGGGTCCACTGAAGGAACCATACTGATATTTACTTTTTTTGCTCAAGTTAATTCATTTATTACGCACCAACTACAGAGCAAATAGTACATTCCTTTACAATAATCCTACTTTTATCAACTAAGTTCACAAACATGAAGTGCAGACACTGCAAGTTAGTTTTTGGGACACAGGCATACCGCTCCTCAGTTAGCATTAAGTGATCTAAGAAGTGACACCACCGTGTTAAGCAATCATACACCACCTCTGAAACAAGCTGGGTCACCATGTTTCTCCACTTAAAATTAAGTCTTGCAATTTCATCTTGCTTCCCAATTCATTCAGTAGTTGGTATTTAAAACTGTAATAACCTTCAGTCACAGTACACAAGCACAACAGAGATGTGCCTCTTGAACAACTGCTACTTTTGTGTTCTCCACTTCAAAACAGGACTTGGATTTTATTTGCCTCAGCCACCCAACACCTTAACCACAAGAGAATTTAGCCAAGAGAATTTAGCCAACACTAGTATTCACCTGTGTTGTGTTACAATCAAAGCTGATGTGCATCAGGCTCCCTTCATGATATGAACTGGAGTGGTAAGAGGGGTAGAAAAGCCCAGAAAGGGACACAAGTCTGTCTCTATGTGTCTCCGTCAGCTGTTGACTAGAGAGATCACCCTTGTGTAAGTTTACAAAAGCCCTCCCTCACTACCATGAGTTCTAAAACAGAGAGCTGTCCAAGTCCAAACCAAGCACTTTAAGTTATGTTTATCCTGCTTGTGAAAAGATAGACAAGAATATGACTATTTCAGAATCTCATTTGAAAGTGTATTTAAAGTCAATATTATAAAAAAAGGGTTGGTTCAATATGCATTCGAGGTAATAGCTTATTTGTTGTTCATGTTAGTTCTCTTCCATCTATAGTAACAAGTTAAAGAAGATATTTTACTTTTTAATTAGTTATTACTTCTCTTGCAAGGAGTGATATTCTGTACAACAAAGAAGAAAGGAGAGACTGATTCAGAGTCGAGATTATTATTTATTACATTACACGACTTATCCCATGTTTGCCATCTGTTTCAGTTAGGGTTTGACAGCTACTAAATAAGACCTCAGGACAGCTAATACGC